CCAAATTTAGGCTGAAAAGTAAGATTTTTCGCTTACAAAATGTCCATAAATGTTGGGAACATGAAAAAACCTTTTTGGAGTTCTTGTCGTTAGAAAACATATTTCTGCCCGATTTAAAAATGGATGAGATCATCGTGAAAAAAATGGCGGACTTCTTTGAAAATGTCCTGCATGATTACAAAATGTACACCAACGAATTGGATCTGCTGAAGATTGCATTCAACGAGCAGTGGGATTTGTACACGTCATCCTAACTTTATTTATTTCATTTTTAAATCTAACTTACTTAGCTTAGTTTTGTATTATAGTTGTATTATTAAGAGTTTTTTTTACAGATATATGTTTGTATTTTAATTTAGTATTAAGTAGTTTAGCTATTACATAAATAAACATAATTTTAAACCAATACTTTTGAAGTTAAGTAAACTTATTAATAAAATCAAACACTTGAGAAAAAGACGTCTTCTTAATTCTAATAGAATAGGAAGAACAATAATTGGGAGACGAATACCCTTTTGTGTTTATATAAGGCGTTTATTTTGTCAGACTGGATTACGCATACTTTATATATTCCTTCTGCACTGGTTCATCGCTGATTGCTCAGGATAGTATCAAAAATCAGGCACTACGGATCTGCCTGGGTGCCCTGAAGTCAACGCCAATCAATGTGCTGCACTCAGAAATCGGCAGGCCTCCTTTCCAGAAGAGAGGATATTTTGTTATTTCCATCTTTTTATCGTTATGCTAAATCATTGAAACGTTAATTTTGTCTTAAATTTAGCGTTCTGAATAAGCAAATATTAATTTTTGTTCGTATATTCTTTATACTTTAAAGATTTTCGTTTATTTTATTTTGATTAGTCTCTCTTTTATTCCCTTTTATTAAGCAAAACTCTGTTATTTTTATTGATTTTGTCTCTTAAAATCTTTTTCTATTAAAATGGATAGAGGTATCAAGACGCAAGCGACTATTAGTTCTGTAGGATCACGCAATCCTAAACACACAACAAGTCATGTAAAACATTCTGAATTTACATTTTAAAGGCAATCCAAATTAGAACATTTTATATAAAAATGCAATAATCTTTTTAAAAATTAGAAAATTTATTATCTAGAATCACAACTATTAGAAATTCGAGCTTCATAGGTAGAAAATTATCTACTTGGCGAGAACACCGTAGTGCTTCAATTAAACATTTTTCAGAATCATCTCCCATTGCGTTCTGGAGAAATAAGCTTAATATTTGTCAACATAGTGACAATGAATCTGTTTTTTTTTTCTTATAAAAAAGGTTGGAGGAAAAAATATTAAATAACAAAAGACCAATTGTATTTAATGACAAATTTGTCAAATTCTTTTAAGAAATTGGATTTAGATGAATTTGAAACATTTCAAAATACAGAAAATTTCAATAATTCAAAATTTACTGTAAATTTTAAATATTAAAAAAATACGGTA